AGTGATGGTGGATCCATTGAGCCTGACCGAGGAAGGGCCTGCTATAATTTGAAAGTCACCGAACCAATTGACCTAGGGAATGGACGAGGAATGAGGATATCATTTGCTTCGGTGATTCAAATTTAGCAGGCCCTTCCTCGGTCAGGCTTGATGGATCCACAGTTACTTCGCGCCGTACTTTTAAGACAGACTGTACTTCAAGAAACCGATCAAAATAAAGAATCCTTGACATAAATACAATGCATGTACTTACTTGGGTAAGCGTTTTGTTCCGCACTTCACCGCCCCTTGAAATGTATTGCCTGAGTTTCGAATCAGAAAGCGTGACAGGTCACCCGTCACTGTGTGGTGATTTCAGTATGGTAAACCGTACCTACTTTACGCCGCGACAGATCGGAATGTCGAACGGTGGGGTGCGTCCCTCCTCCCGCAAAACCCCCTCTCGCCCGGACCGCCCCTGGGGAGCCACCGGGGTCGGCTGTGGCGGCCCAGGACCCGGGCTGGCTCCAGTGGACGATAACAGGCCTAGGGACGGCGCCGACGGGTAGCCCTCTTGTTATGGGCAGCTATTGAAATAGCACTGCAGTTTGACTATTACCCATTTGAACCAAAATGGCAAGGAAACCTCAAACTTACGTCATCTTACGTTACATACGTTACGGTGGTGGCCCTTTTGTAATGCCTTGCGTTATATTTGGGCACGTTCGTGCAAAGAGCCCCATCGGTGTCCAGGGGCCCATCGCCATTTCTGAGGGCCCATTTCGACTTTGAGGACCATCCTTACGACAGGTCTACGAGGGCCTACAAGAATCTTTGGACACTGATCTTTGAAGATTTCTGAAAACCTTTGCTGACCAATGACCTCCAATAGCCCAGCCGAGCTCTTGGGGCAACACAGGGTTTTTGCAGACCCAAAACCGGCATCTGAGGGGCCATGTGTGACTCTGGGCAGGGCTGCAGTATCCGGAATCAGAGTCTATGGAAATTGGGAGTCGAGAGCTTTGACCAGAGTCGGAGTCGATTTTGGCTGTGGAATCCGGGGTCGTAGCCCGTAGGCGAGTCGAACATACACAAAAAAATTGCATGCAAGAATTTTTAGGGAGGGCGAACCGATTGCCTCGATAATTTTCAACTTCTTCTGGAAGAAGAAGATCGATCCTCCATCCTTCTGGATGACGTCATTTCCGGCCAAACTATGATAGCTAGAAAGTTGAAATTTTTGACACAAGGTGTCAAATTGAATCCGCTGAAGGTACCGCAAGGTTCGTGTTGATCCGTCAAACGGTTTAGAAGATGTTGCCGAAAAAAAAACGAGAGGAAGGCTCTGTAGAGCCCCCCCCCCCCCCTCCAGTCATGCGCGGGAATACTGTGCCCTGCTAAAACTGACGTCACGGGAAATGGGTAAGCATTGATTGCCTGAGTTTCGAAGCAGAAATTGTATGGTATTGAACAATCATGAGCGATCCACATTCTCCAAGTGCGTGGCGATTGCTGCTCACCGCACTTTGAGGTGAGCACTGAGCACAGAAAGTGTGACAGGTCACTCACTGTGTGGTGATTTGAGTAGGTATGCCAAACCGTAGGGGAGAGTGGGGCAAAGCGGCCACCCGGGGCAAAGCGGCCACCCATCGTTTCAGCCCTTCATAGCTGGCGTCAGTTCCAATTTATGGTTTCCAATTATACTTCTCTTCACGGTAGTTCTAATGAGCCAGACCGGGGTTTCAGGCCCATCACCATTGTTCTGTGAAACACGGAAAAACATTTCTTGCCAGGTTACCAACTATGTTTACAATTTTTAAATGTTATGTTATTCCATAACCGTTTGGAATTTTTATAAGCGTTCTTGTCCATGCATTGCATGGTTATCGTACATGTCTTCTACCAATTTTAATGTTTTTTACCCCACTAATAGCTAGGCTGGAATATTTTTGTCTCGGACGGTATGCGCGGGGCAAAGTGGCCGGGGCAAAGTGGCCACCCCCCAATTGGCCATAAGTTGCTTCCATCTGGATAAAAAACATTATTTATATTCAAATGTGTCGTCATGCATTCATCTTGGCCACTTTTCAGTAGCATGAGTTACCAAATAATGCAATTAAATGTTTTTTTCATGAAAATCCTTTCTTTGTTTACCTACAGGTGAAAGATGATAAAGTAAACATCCATCCTCGCTTAACCTTGTCACCATCAAATACCCTAGTCGTACACGAGGCAACTATTTTGTTTCTCATATCGGGACTTGAAAAGACGCCGGTGGCCGCTTTGCCCCAGGGTATGGGGCAAAGTGGCCAACATGCATAGGTTTAAAGTTTTGTCAATATCTTTCATATGTGAACGCCTTTGGAAATAAAACACAGTTGAAATAGAAGGCAACTTAATAGGGATCACATTGGTATACAAAGAATCTTTCCAAGTTTAAAAATCAAGCGTTGGCATCGTGAGAAGCGTTAGGGTGGCCGCTTTGCCCCACTCTCCCCTACTTTGCTCTTTGCTCTACGCCGCGACAGATCGGATTGTCGCACGGGGGGTGGGGTGCGTCCCTCCTCCCGCAAATCCTCCTTCCGGTCGGACCGCCCCTTGGGAGTCACCGGGGTCGAATGTGGCGGCCCAGGACCCGGGCGGGCTACAGTGGACGACAACAGGCTGGGGAGTGGGGACGGCGCCGACGGGCGGCCGCCCTCTTGTTATGGGTAGCTACTGGGACAGCACCGCTATGTGAGGAAAATGAGCGGATGGACCACAAGTGCACCGTGGCGCCATCTGTGTCACAGTGAGATCGGTAAAACGCTGCCAAAAACCATCCGACGGGACGCTCATGTTTGATGTTTTATAGCAACTAGGATGTAAAAATTTACTAAGCCTTCACACTAAGCTACATTACACGGTTACTCGAGGAACGACGGAGCGGTGCTGACTTATCAAATGATATAACAAGCATTCGCAATGCTCTATTTACGAAGCAGGTGTACATTCTATAAAGTGCAGCAGTTTAGTGTAGCCATCAGCTGATGATTTCACGTGCTGCATCCTGGATGCGCTGTTTAGTACGATTCTGCCCTTCTTCCCAGTAGCTGAACATAGCCATTGGGAGCCGGTAGTTGGAAGACTTCCCGCCAGAGCAGAGGTCCGATTTCAATTTCGAGTGCGAGCCCGGTACGAGCCAGCTTACGGTGCGTCTGCCGATAGATATCCACTGAACCATAATGATGACATAGAGCAGCGAGCGCACAATATACCCGGAGCGCACTACTGCTACACGTGAGCTTGTCGCTAGCCGGTAGCGTGTCGTGGAGAACAAATCGCACCGATATGAACGCTACAAAATCAACTAACTTACTACTGAAAGCTATTAAACACGCAAACAACCCCTTTCCAAATATACCCATACCCATTCCCCATCATTGCTGATTGCTGTCATTGCTGGTTGCTGATTGCTGTCAAGGCATTTAAGTCTATGCCCACGCTCCTCCTCCCGTACCACGACCCTCTGGCTGACTCCGGCCGGAATGTTTTATCACAGGGGCTCCCGAGCGGAGCCAAGGCCGGCGCGGCGGTCCGGACTCGCGCGCCGCCGAACCTCAGGGCTCTAGCGGAGAGATTGGAAACTATTATCCCGGAGAGTTATGTTCAGCTACTGAAAAGGAGTCGAAACTGTACTAAACTCCACAGCGCGCAGCCAGCGGAAGAATCAGCTGATTGTACGACTAAATTACAGCACTTTACTGTTCAAGAGCGTTATAATGATTTACACGACTTTACGACGGACATGCCACAGTTTTTCATCTTTCTTTGTCTTTGTCACCAGAAATCGTTGCCAAGGCAAGTAGGGCTCAAAACGGATAGTTATTGAATGCATGTTCGCGATGAAATAACAAAATAGTGGAGAAAGTTATCATGAGTCGTTAGTAACATAAGCGGCGTGATTTTACCACGGTTTTAAACAAGTTCGTTTGCTGGTATTCTTACCAAGCCAAGCAGAGTTGGTGATTACAGCTTGCATCACTCTTGTACTATGTTTCGCAAGGCAAAGGAAATGCAAGCTCAACATGATGAAACCCTTCTCTAAATTTCCAAACTGCAGCATTTTAGCCTTACGTAGATGGCGCCACAGAACAATGTGGACATCCACCCGCTGTTTCACCACACATTGGTGTGAATTAGCCGGCCGGCGCAGTAGCTGCCCATAACACACTGAAGGGCTGGGCGCTGCTTACAGTGACACTGCGAGCACCTGACAGTATCAGGAAGACACACAACACTGCTAAATAAAATGTCTGCCATTAATGAAAGTATCTAAAGCATATATTCGCTTATATCTACGATGGGTAGCGAATTCAACGATATAGGCACGGGAACTAGCTCGTTTGTCATCAGCCTCCTACAGGACAAGACGATGACATTCACTGTTTTTATTTCATGTCACGCGAGGTCTGTCTGTTTCGTGTTATTATAAGATTTCGAACCGTAAAAAGCACATACATTCTATCTGAATGCATTCGAATAAATTGTTTCGACGGAAGGAAAGAAGTCACGAAGGTACAGATGTAAGGTATCTCGCTCAGCTGTGACCTTTTCTTAGTTTGCCCATTATAGCCGAGCAAAACTTTATACGACTCTGTTATGTGACTTATATTGAATCAAACAAATAGACGACATCAATTAAAATACAATGTCCGTGTGAAATGGATGAAAATGAAATCCTCAAGGCAATAATTAGATAAACGAAACACGTTATTCCGAAGAATGACTCCTCGCAGATGGAAATCAATTCAGGAATATGCATACAATGCCTCTGACATTAGGATTGTTTACTTTCGAAAGAAGGCTATTATCGTGCTCTCTTCCACTCTTTTAAAAGCGTATTGTGATAAAAGTTTACCATGCTGCCCTAACTAATCGGAGGGTCAACTCGTTGACTTCATCCCAGATCCCTCGGACACAGACTAATAAGACGGCGGTGATGGCCACCCGCATCAAACCAATCCCTCGGCCGAACTCACCGAGTTGGGTTTCGAGTTGGGTTGCAGCGGCTTGACGATGATGTTTTTACGCTGCGAGTAGACGACCTCTGCCGAGGTGGGTCCCCAGTCGGCCGAATAGATGGAGCTGTTACCCTGCACCAGCGTGGAGCGCAGCATACCCGAGCGGGACCACATCTTTAGTGCGCCGTCCTCGCCCGCTGAACAGAGCCGGGGGTGAGGTTAGGTCAGTCGTAAGAGGGGAAGGGAGATCGATTGACCGGTCAAAGGTAAGCTAATTCCTAAGGTCAAATAATCGGTCAAATAATGGCGGAGCGGTGTTGATCAATCAACATTTATCATCGTGTGAAGGCAAGCTTAGAGGGAAGGCATATGCTTCATCGATCGACGATCAGTGATCTAATGATGCTCGCACCGATAGGGAAGACGTTCATTTCGTTCATCCATACACTGGCTGGCGGGACATGCAGTGGCGTGAGCTGGCCTGGCCACTGAAATATTATATTTCTCATTAGCCGAGATCAATTGTCAAACAGAAAACGAGGGTCCAACAGCGGATCGGATAGAAGACGGTAGGTACCTGTGAGAAGAGCCGAGCCGTCGCTGCTCCACCGTGCCGACAGAACGGCTCCCTTGTGCGCCTCCACCGTCTTCTCAACGCGGCCCACCTTGTTCATCATGTAAAACTTGCCTGGGAAAGAGGAATAGACCATATATGTCTCAATGACAACAAGTCACGTGAAAATTCGCCCCGTACTCATTCAAATATAAAAGGGTCTGGTACACACAGGTCGGCAACATCGCACTGCGACGCCATCAGCCGTCCAAAAATCGCGTTTATCGCAAAAAAAAAACAGGAACGAAATGCTACATTGCTATACTTAAGAGCGCATTTAAGCAGCAACATGAACACATTCAGCAGTCAGCACCGGTTTCTCAGGACTCAGCATACAAGGCAGGGCGGGGAAAGGTGTGACGTCCAGCGTCGCAGCTCCTATGCTGAACCGTTACCGTGCGGCAATTGACGTTCCTCACCGTCGGCGGCGGCCACCACGAATATTTCGCCTCCCATGGTGCCGCCCTTCTTCTGGGCGGCGGGGGCGGACGACAGGTCGCGCGGCACCCAGTGCAGGTCCACAGGAAACACGTCGGGACCCAGATCGACTACCTTCTCCTGCTCCTGGCTCATCAGGTTCCAGCGCAGGATCGTGTGGTCATCGCTGAAACGATCGCAACAGATGGACACGTTTGACGTGCTCTTATGAATCCTAATATTTACCTGAAATGCATCATAACATGATTTAATGATCCATCAACAAGTTTGGTCTCTGAGCAGATGACACGGCTCTATTACACAATCATTAGGCATAAGTGTTAATATCAGTTCAAGTATCACGTAAAAAATAACTTCAGGTATTTACAGTTTGAGTGGGAAGTCAAATCACGGATGTAATTCGTGGTGAAAACTGAAAAGTACATTCAAAACAGTTCCTAATACGTTCAAGCTTACCTGATGGAGAATATTTCATCGGTGTTGCACCAACCAACAGCCGTGACTGTATCGTGATGCCTCGGCTCGGCAAGCATGGACGTTTTAAATCTCATTTTTACTTGTTAATAAGCACAGAAATTACCCAGAAACAGCACCAAAAACATATTAGTTTGACCACCCTATGACTTTACGCCGGCCGTTAGCTTTCTGCTTTAGCTTGTAGTCTTGTTTACAAAAAGAGGAATTCCGGAAGTATTGAATATGTTCAGGTATTGTCATTTTCCGGCCAACAGCCAATGACTTACCAGCATCGACCGAATGTGGTGAACGTCCACCAATGAACGGCAAGCATTTCGCTACCGAGCTGCGCTACGGACGCTCGTGCTCGCAGTAACGAAAAGGCATTTGTGGCGCATCTCTTTCAAATATGAATTTCATTACCAAAACTGGCAAAATGATAATAGGAGAATGATGTGTAATATTCCTTACTTTTTGTGGTCTAGTACTCTAGTAATAACATCGCGGTGTGACATAAAAACAGGTGGGGGTTTTCTGAAGTGGTATGTATGAACTTGTCCTTTGTTTAGCTTTCCTTCTTTCACAAACCTCTTCATCTCAATCTTGCACAGCACTTTTATGTGAAGCTTTTCCAGTTCAAGTTCAAGTAAGTAAGCAATGAATTTGACTTATTTTTATTCAGCATCCTCTCTTGAATCTTATCAGTTATCACACAACTTATACAGTTAATTGTAGCTGGAATCCCACATTACTTTCCACATGTGAACACAGTTCGCACTTCACAAGGTGATGATTAAGCATTCATGTCACAAGTAGCCTTCTATATAGGTAGCATTTATTGGTACTTATTATTACTTATTGGCACCAAAATTGATAGGCTCACTGGCCACTGCTCTTGGTGTGTTCTTTCCTGCTTGGTTGAGATATGAAAGGGCCATGAAACATTTCTTTAGATCTTTGGTTGTCTGCAATGCAAACTTAATTTGCTGGCATACAATTGCTCAATCTACAAATCAGCATTCTAATTTGTTTTTCTTCTCCTGCGTAAATAAGTAGACTGAGATGGTTTGTCAGGAAGCATTCTAAAAACATTGGAAATTTTTTCAGTATAGTATGCATTCAAAATTCAAATAATAATTATCTAACCTTATGAGCAGCTGACAAGGTACCAATTTTCTGGAGAAGAAAGGCATTTTCATATTTTTATTGAAATGTTGATTTACATGAGTAGAAGTGTTCAACGTTACAACATAATCTTAGAAGTTATTTGCCCTTGGCCCCTTTCAGAAGTCTCGTAGCACCCAGGCAGATGACTCCTGCAATACTGCGGCCCTGCCTCAAGAGGCGGCTGCTGGTACTGCTGTTTTGCCTAACTGCCACAGCATGTTTCATTCTGGGAGTTTGCGTCAGTGTGGTCATCCTTGAGCCTGAGCGTTCAGGTCTCAGGTGTTCAGAGTCCAAGCAATCAGAGCCAGATGGACCAGAGTACAAGGTGAGAGCCAGGTTGTCTTTGATTGCTAGTCAGTATATCAACTAAGTGTGTGCTAAGTGTGTGCTAGATATTCTGCAGTTTTGTTGTTTTGTTGGCTGATAAGGAGTGGCATTAGCTTAAAAAGTTAAAAGTAGCTGACAGGTTTGCTTTTATCAGTCCCTAAAATAGTTCCAAGCATGATAGGTAGTAGCTCAGTCATTGCCATTCATGTTCACTAAGTTTGTACTTTGCCGCTCTGCTTATAATTCTGCATTGTACATTATCATATCCAGTTAGCAGCAGCTCTCCTGCAGTGTCGGTAATGCCCCCACTCTCCCCTTTCCTCCAGCTGGTGGTGCTCGTGCTGACCGCCCCGGACAATGTGGAGCGGCGCGACACGCTACGCGCCACCTGGCTGCGGCCGCGCGGCGGCTCCCCGCCCCCGGCGCGCCACTGGTTCGTACTGGGCGGCGCCGCGCTGCCATCCGAGCAGCACTCGCGCCTGCTGGCCGAACAGAGCCGTCACGGAGACCTGCTGATACTACCGCACGTCACCGACGCCTACACCCAGCTCACTGAGAAGGTGCTGGCCGCGTTCGTCTGGCTCGGCGCGCACTCACGCCACCAGTACGTGATGAAGTGTGATGATGACACATTCGCCCGGCTCGGCCCGTTGTTGACCGAGCTGGAATTGGCGCCCAGGAGTCGATTTTATATGGGTTTCTTTGACGGTCGCGCTCGGCCCCGTCGGACGGGAAAGTGGGCCGAGCCCTCGTGGGACATCTGCGACCTGTACCTGCCGTACGCGCTGGGTGGGGGTTACATCCTCTCCAGTGACCTGGTATCATACCTCGCCACTGCCGCACCCCACCTGCGCCGCTTCAACAGTGAGGACGTGTCAGTGGGAGCGTGGCTGTCACCTCTGGCAATCGAGAGGCGCCACGACCCTCGCTTCGACACAGAGTGGGAGTCTCGGGGCTGCGACAACCGCCACCTGGTGACGCACAAGCATAATGTTGCGCAGATGACCGAGATGCAGCGCACTCTGGAGCGACGCGGCGTGCTCTGTGACAAAGAGAAGAGGGTTCGGGGATCGTACGTGTATAACGCGTCCGTGCCGCCGTCTCAGTGCTGTAAACGGGTCACGGATACGTCACTGCCGTGAGTGGAAGGGTTTAGTGGTAGGTCGGGGATGGGTCTTCATTTCATCATGTGTGCGGCTCAAGGAAGTGTGTTTCTCTTGTCTGAAAGTGACAGTGTTAGGTATGTATCACCTACTGGAGCGCACTTTTTAGTGATGAATTGGTGACGATCGTGAAAGTGATGTATTTGATTTTATACTTTGGCTTTATTTGTGCCACCGTATGCCTGATAAGGTGACTCCTGCCAGACCTGTACGAAATGTTTTTAAAAGTTGACGCTATACCGAAATAGCCACGACCTGAGGAAGGCGTTCGTTATCAGCATTTTAAGCCAGATCTTACCCGTCGTTAGCTACGAGTTGCTCCGATCACGACACATTGGAGGTAAGACTATCTAAGACGTTTTTAGTGGTGAGGTGTGGTGCGGTGAGTGACGGACACTTAGGCTTATGTTGTCTGACGGTAGATGGCAGCAATCGTCCGTGAGGGCCGAGGTTCTGCGACTGGTAGGCTGCCGAGTTATCAATGACTTTCTAGATTGATGTGAGTAGCATGTATTGCTGACATTATTTTGATAGTTCCTGTAGTGACATTGACTTTGTGACATATTACTTATTTATTATGAGAGCTGTAGGTAATGGTGCCCTGTAGGTATGCAGTATAATCGCTAGCATTACGATAAGTGTAAGATTGAGGTTTTAGTACGGTTGTGACAGTAGAAGTGCCAGGGTGTTTCTGTATTTGCGCAAATCACCAACAGGCTTGGCCCAATGACAGGTGAAGTCATATAAGTAGGTATATCACACCAAACACACTATAAAAATAATGATCTGTTCTAAGTAGAGAAGACTATAGAAGTAAAAGTAAAAATACCTATAGTGTAAAAAAAGACTATAAAGGCAGAGTGTAAATGACTACGTAGGCATAACATGGATAATTGTGGGTGGATAATTGTGCCGAGTTGGGGTAGCACGAGCTTTCCCAATTCCACGCCGGCTTGGCTTTAGAGCCACAACAGACGGCGGAGGTCAAGGTCACCGCTAGGGCGGCGGCGGATTTGCTGCGCCCGTGCTACCCCAACTCAGCACATTTGTCCACCCCTGAGAAGTGCTCGTTGCCACCGGCATCCAGCTTAGAATGAATCAATGACTGCATTTCGAGATTGGTATAGGCACTGCATTTTTCATGAACATCGTCTCGTCATCGCACCCATCTCGTAACTTATATGTATTGTGATCGCATGAAGGTGCCAAACACACTGCGATTTGATAGCACTAGGAATGTACACTTTTGTGGTTTGCGTTGTTTGTAGGACTACCCTACGAGCCACCAGTGCTACCTTCAATGTTGTGTCAGACCGTTACTAATGTATTGGTTGTGCAGAATGTAAGCGTTGTTTTAACATTTGAATGTCTCGCTCAGTCTCCAGTTCGTGGTCGTTTCTAGTCGTCCATTCCATTCTGCTCCAATTTGTGATTCGTGTTTCCAGAACAGATTCTCGAAGGTCTGGCTACTTCTTAGATATTTATTTCATTGGATCTTCGACATAAGCTTGTAAACGAAGGGTATTATTTGTGATAGCTGAAATTATGTGAATAAATCACATTGATTTTTATCCATGCGTTATTCCCTGGTCGATCGGTTGAATTCTCTGTGATGAGGGACACCGCGAAATTAGTCGAGTTTGCTCTTATCACGTCACTGTTGGTTGAAGCTGCAATATTTGCTCTGAACCGATGGGCCATGAGCTCAAAATTTTGGACTATCTTCCGTGTTTGCCATACACTGATCTGTTTATTCGCCGCAATATGCTGGGGTGTGTGTGCGTCAATTGCGTCATTTTGCGTGCGTCTTTCCGTTAATTTTGACTCATCTGTCGCATGGTCCGGGCGGCGTTAATTAAGGATTCTTCAGGTAGATTAATGATAACGGAACACCTGTTTTACTGTTTCGAACGTACCCGCGCCTGCTTCGTTAGATTTCTAACCCTCCAGCAACCATGAAGCTTGTGACGCTTTGTGAATCCACTGTATAGCATAATGGAGAGTTTGGTCCTTTGATAGGTGCACGAACCCGGCCCTCAGCTGGCACGTGCTGTGACGTCACCCGTAGAAGCGGTTCGCCCCCGCGCCGGTGGATCAGGGCGGGTCGGCAGGATGTCCTTGGTATGTCGGTCCGCTCTGCAGGCTGGGCCCAGCTCTCTGATCTCAACCCGCTGCCAGCTGTGAGCTGCCACAGCCACAGGAAGCTTACAGGAAGTGCCACTTCTATCCTCCGCTGAGGAATCACCCCGGTGTAAGGCTGTCGGCCGCCGCACGTCTATATAAGGCAATCCCCTGGTGGCCTCCAACCCAGCGGGCGATGTCATAACAGGACCTAGGCTCCCGACGTTAGGTACATTCTACAGCAGAGGGCGCACCTGGTAATCGAGCAGCACTCTCGTGGCAAAAGAAGTGCGTGTATGACACACCACCACTATCGGCAGTCCCAATTGCATTCAAGCAAGGTGCCCCATTCACGTTTGCCTCGATCATACCATACCTAGCGGGCTTTTCGCCCGTTTTTCACCTATCCCGTCGGGTGCCGTCGACGCCAGAGCCTCTAGCGGAGACGGCTGAAAGTGAAAGTCGCTTGCTCAGTGCTGAGCGAACCGTCACGAAGTGTGGAAGTGCGCGCCGCGAGCGCAGAGGGTGTGTTCGTGAGTGAGCGGGCGCCGCCTGCCAGCAGTGCCATGGCGGACGAAGACCAGTATGGAATCAGCCAGAGTGGCCTGGTGGCCCGCAGTCCGGAGGGACATGCAGCGCGTGGCATGCAGATCAAGGGCAATGAGGATGTCTGGATTGAGATCCAGGCGCACACCTTCAAGAACTGGGTCAACGAGAAGCTGGCGCCTTCGGGCCTGCTGGTTGAGGACCTGGTGGAGGACCTGCGAGACGGCGTCTGCCTCGTCACCCTCGTCGAGATCCTGCAGCAGAAGAAGCTGCGGAAGATTGCGCGCCCGATGAACCAGCACCAGTGGCTGGAAAATGTTACCACCGCGCTCAGAGCCATCGAGCAGGACGGCATCAAACTAGTCAACATCGGTGAGTGTTCCTCTTTGCCTCGTAGACCCACCTGACGATTCTAGAGCAAGTGTCAGTGCTCCTTACAGAGTGCCCCTCCCTGGAGGCCTTCCAGGGTAGTTGCAACTTGCATCGCCGGCGACAATGCACCATGATGTCATAATTGCGAGCCCTGCACACGTTTCACCACAAGATAAACTGGCCCTCAGCACATGACCCTCCCTCTGAGATCAGTCCCTACGTCGCTGGTGAGAGCCAGCCAGTCATCGCCTTCCGAGTTCCACCTCGCGTGAACTTGCCGAGCCCGTCTGAAGGTGGGGATGGGCGGGTGCCGCTCCGCTCCGCTCCGCTCCGCTCCGCTCCGCTCCCCTCCCCCCTCACGGTCTCGCTCGGCTGGTGAGGCGCCATGGCGGAAAACCGGCGCAGCTCAGACAGTGGGGGGGGGGGGGGGGCGGCTGCGCACGGAGGGGGCATTGAACGCCATACCTGGATACCGTGCAATGCACGAGCTCCAGTCCAGACAGTGAGATGTAGATTTAGATGGAATCAAAGGATAGTTATCCACATGCATGGTCGGAGGAGCACCTGTCATTCGGAAGCACACGGCTATCAAGAGAGCTGATAACCTTTATAAAGTCAAAGCTACATCGAAAAAGTGCTCAAGTGCTTGGCAGAGCTAGAATAGTGTTGTCTCTTGGAAAAGTGTTGGTTGAAAAGCGACGGTGCTGTCGCGACCAGCTGCAACAAAACCGTTTCATGCAACGGTAGCGAAGGTCAGGTGGCAGGCTGGCAACAAGGCTACTTCCATCAGATCCTCTGGATTGGATCACGCGCACCTGTTACTGCCCCAGAGTAATGTGCTCGCCACAGCCGCCTCCATCCGCCCTCACCCTCTTCCAGAGGCCCTGCCGTGACCTTGAGCCAGTTCTGCAGGGCTTCTCTGGAAGAATGCTCGTGTAGGAGGCACTGTAGTCCTTGCAGAGATGTGCAATGGCATACATAATTATGCACCTGTAGACATTGCTATGCAGGTGTCGTCCATTGTGAGGGAGAGAAGAGAATCCATGCCACCCGCCGTTGATTCTAAACGGAACTTCAGGCTGTATGAAAAAGGGAGACGTCTATATATGTAATTGAGTTGTAGGACCTTTCTTTCTTGTCGTTTACACGTATGGGAATTGTTTGTCATGTTGCAGCTGTGATTTGTGTCGAAAGAGCCGACTTATGTGAGTGTAAGGGTTATGTTAACCCATTTATGCCCAGGAATTTTGACCATCATGAAAATCGACGAAATCAAAATATGTTATGCTCCTACCAGGGCCTTGTATGGAATCGAAAATAATTTTTGCCTGCAGCAAAAGTTTCTCGAGAAAAACGTAAAAAACATGCGTTGCGAAATCGCAACGAAGGGCACACCGGGCGCCATCAGCGTTGCGAAAACGCAACGACGGGCACATCAGACGGACATAAAGTACACTGAACTGCCGCATATGCTAATATATTTTGACAAAACATCAATCAACTGTTGACAACTATTGCTTGAAAATGCGGAACCCACATCCGTCATGCTCTATAACCCGCCTAAGAGCCTCAGTGAGGAAGCATAACTTCATGATTCGCGAACGGGGAGATGGCAACACGGTCATTATCAACCATTTACGTTGTCCATTGCTGTTCATTTAAAGTTGTGGTCGACACGTATCCAGGGTGATGCTTCCTTTTTGGAAGCTAGACAGATCCATTACCTCCACCTATCAGACCCTGCACAGTGCACACTGAATACAATTAAACGGAGGATTGGGAGTAAACCAGTGCCTCTCGTATGCGCGCATATCCGCAATCATTTTTAACCACCCTCCTAGGAGTAAAGTTAAATTCCATTGCAGGTTAGTCGTACCCACTCTCAGCAAAAAGAAAAAAGGACCGATCCGGCTCTAACAAATTACCCGCGTAAGGCGTAGCGCATCACAACAAATCGACTCCCAGTTTATCATGTTTACACCTAATCCAAAATTTTCATGGCCCCACTCTCAGCGACCTTCACGTGTAACCTCTTTCTCGAGACAATGCCAGGACAGAATGGTGATTCGACGTCAATCCGTCCTTTCCATCTTCAGGATAGTTGAATCCTCCTCCACGCCTCATCCCCCTGTTCCGGGCTGGACCGGCAACGTATATCGCAATCGGGCAGCTCACATAGGAGCGCGCCTGTAGCCGGGTGCAGTGAGTGCTTGGTAGGGGGGAAGGGGATGGGTCATGGGTGGCGGCTGCCCACTGGCTGGGCTCAGTGTCCAGTCTACGATTGACCGTGTCTGGTCAGACAAATGTCTCCCCTAATTCCAATAATCCTGCTAGCTCTAAAAATGGTCTGATTAGATAAAAAGCCTATCAAAGTAAGAAAACAGGCGTATACTCCACATCAAGCAGCTTATGAATCTATGCGAGTTATGAATCCTAAAAATTATTATTTTCCCATGGGTCCGCCCTCATTACCCCTGCCGAAGGGCTCAGCTACCCTCAGAGGGGGCCTATCCCACTATTTGCCGACCCTCAGTTATCTTTTCTAACGTAAATGCTGGTAGTCAGCAGATTCTATCCAGAGAATGGCGATGCCTATCTGTCGCCTGATACCAGAATACATCCCCGTTATTCATTATTTATGCACAATGTACATAGTACATCCAATTTCCAAAGGACCTAATTATCTCTCAGCTCCGTTAGCATCGCCGACCGTTTGATGCATGGGTCCTTTTCCTACCATGCGATTTTCAGATGCATGGGAACACATTGCTTAGTGAACGAACAGCCCGAGGCCGAAAATCTGCGAGAGAAAAAGAAAGGAGTGTTTGTGGCTGTTTGAGCCAGCAAATATGAAATGTGTCGCAACATTTTACGTGCGAACGCACCTTGCACTAAACATACCTATATACGTCCCTCATGGCATAGGCGGCGGAGCGGGGGGAGGGGGCACCGGGGCACCGTGCCCCCCTTGATTTTGCCATTTTAACATTATCCCGATAGGCGTTGCATGGAAATGGAAATGGAAAGAATGAGACCAAAAGTCAGCAGTGCTCCCCCCCCTTAATTGAAGATGTTCCGCCGCTACAGCCTCATGGCTACAAAATGAGAGAGAGAAAGAAAGAGAGAGAGAAAGAGAGAGAGAGAGAGAGAGAGAGAGAGAGAGGGGAGAGAGTTGGGGAACGAGGAGGAGAGGGAGGAAGATGGGGGAGAGAAAGAGAGAACCCACAGCGTATCACGAGTGCAGTCTACTGTTGATATTCATACTTCCGCTACCCTGCCAATGTGCCCATCGTTGCGTTTTCGCAACACCGCTGTCTTTCCGATGTGCCCTTCGTTGCGTTCCCGCAACGCGACCGTAGTCATATTTGAAAATAGTCACAAACCCTTTTTGTAGCATTATTTCTTAACAAAATGCATATCTACGCTATTGTAGGGACTCTGCAGAATATGTTTACACAATTTTCATTACGATATTATTAAGCACTTAGCCTACTTATCTTGGTTTTCGTGACGTCATCACTCACAAAACCTTCGACTTCCCTCTGGGAGCTCTAGGCAGTAACTTACTGGCCGCACAGACTTGTAACTGCGTAGTATCATGCGCACAACCATGCTACACACGCTGAAACTTGTCTCATCGGTTAGTCTCTTTTACACACTTCTCAAGCTTCGATCACGTCGACGCTTGCTTGCGTTGCGAAAACGCAACGAAGGGCGTAAATGGGTTAAATCACGTGGATCATGTGAGATGGCAGACACTTGTTGTGTCTGTGGAAGGCGTGTGCTGTGTCGTCGCTGGAAAAGTTTTTTTTTTAGTCAGTGGGAAATATTTATTGATATGTCGTTGAGAGTCGTTTATTGAGTCGGTGGGAGACGTTTGCTGTGTCGGTGTGATACGTTTATTTTATATCACTGGGTGACGTTTGTGGAAGATGTCAGTGGGAGATGTTTATTATGTCGGTGGAAGATGTTTCTTGTGTCGGTGGGAGCCCGTTTATTGTGTCAGTAGGAAACATTTATTGTCTATTGGAAACGTTTCTTATGTCGGTGGACGGTGGGAGCAGAGAGCAATGATTTTTTGGTCTTATTTCAATTCAACTTATCATATTATATCATGAGCATAAGGTTATTTTTCATCACAATAAAATCGGTGGGAGACGTTTGATGTGTCGGTGGGAAACGTTTGCTGTGTCGATGGGATGGAGATGTTTATTGTTCGGTGTGTCGGTGGGAGATATCTGCTGGGTCGTTGGGAGAGGGAGACGTTTGTTCATTGTTGTATCGGTTGGAGACGTTTCTTGTGTCGGTGGGAGGCGAGTATTCTGTCTGTGGGAGATGTCTACTGTGCCGAAAGATTTGTCATGTGTCCGTGGGGTCTATTTTGAGAGGGAGAGAGAGAGAGAGAGAGAGAGAGAGAGAGAGAGAGAGAGAGAGAGAGAGAGAGAGAGAGAGAGAGAGAGAGAGAGAGAGAGAGAGAAAGAAAGAAAGAGAGGAAGAGAGAGGGAGAGAGAAAGAGAGAGCGAGAGCGAGAGAGAGAGAGAGCATGTGAGATGCTACAACTATGTAACCTGAAATGAAATGATAACGTTATATCGGCATGAGGTAGACTTGCTGGAATTAGAACTACTCATTAATTAAAGATGTGGGCGTGGCTGTTTCTATCAAATGTAAATCACTCACCAGACATGTTGTGTAAATCCGAATCAATCATGGTTTATTTAAATGACTCGAGATCGCTGCGGGTCAGATGACTAGGATAGTGTGACGTCACAGCTGAGGTGAGTTAGCCGAGCCTATCCCCACCGGGGAGTGACGTCATTATTATCCTCAAGGAATGAAGTGATTGGTCACCTGATGGGAATAGAGTCATTCAGGGAACCGATAGAAAGGGTCGAGAGATAATAAACAAGTCAACGGTGGACCGTCGGCTCCTCGTCATCTGGTGCTAGGAATTCGGCTCCTTAAAAAGTGATAAGCAAACGTATTTAGCACGATGACGG